CTCCCGCCGGCTCCCTCTTGGCCTCGCCATGGCTCCTCACGTCGTCCCAGCCTTCGGCCTCACGCAAAGTGGAAAAAGTGACTGCCGCGCAATATTTTTTCAGGTGCTTACCAAACCTGTTATTCCTTCCATTAGCCCTCCCAGAAACCCCAATACGTGCACAAGTGGAACTCACCTCTCCCCTCCCGGAAAGAACACACACACACACACACACACACACACACAGCGAGAGAGAGAGAGAGAGAGAGATGATGGCGACAGACGTAGCTGCAGCTTCAATCATGTCCACCATGAAAATGCTGTTCAAGATGGACAGCGTCACTCATGTGGCCAGCGTGGAGTTGTGGGTGTTGATGACAACGCTGCTGTTGGTGGTGAGGTTCATGCTGGACTGCTTTGGGCCGTGGTACGAAGACAGGGCCATGGCGACCAGCATTCAGGTGATAGAGATGCTCAACTACTCCATGGTGCACTACACCATGGGGCTGATGCAGCTCTCCGCAAAGAAGGTGAATGACTACTTTCAGGTCTGGGCGGTGCTGCTGGTGACCCTGCAGTACAGCGTCAAGGCTGGACGCCTGTACCAGAGATCCAAGCAGATCCCACTGCTCGACCTCATGTCATCCTTCTGGGCAGCCAACCTCATCTGGATGCAGACCTTCTTCCTCCTCAGGGTCCCTCTCTGGTTGATATGGGCCCTCAATGCGATTCGGATCATCTCCTACTTTGCCTCGTCCGATAGGGCTGAAACCACCAACCAAGAGAACACGAGGCAGGTTAGCGACTACATGCGATACGAGCACACCCTCGGTTCCTCGCACTCGTACAAGTACTTGGTCTCTGGGGAAGACCTGGCGCTTCGTGATGCTCGACGACAAGACAGGAGGAGTGGACAATACAGGATTCGGTTGGATCCAGATAATAAGAAGCTTGTCACCATAGAGAAGATATGGAATATTGATGCTGGCAACAGCCGGTTGCTCGGCGGCACCAAAGACAATGGCAACCGACTCAAGGATGTCTGCCTCTCATTCGCCATGTACAAGCTGCTGCGCCGTCGGTTCTATAATCTCCCGATACATGAGGCTAGCCAAGAGAAGACGAGGCGGCTCGTCTTCGACTACATCCTGCAGGAGAACACCAACAGCTATGAGAGGGCATTCCGTGTCACCAAGGTGGAACTGTCCTTCCTCCAAGACTTGTTCTATAGCAAGCATGCTGCCATGTTTGCCAACGGATTTCCGGTCTGGAGTATGCTCTTGTCTCTCTCTCTGGTTGCGGCTACCGTATACCTTGCGTATCCTGTTCATTGTATACCAGAGAGGATGGATGCGGCCGACAAAAATATCATCACTCACGGGGTCATTGTCACTCGTGTCATGGTCTTCCTTATCATTGCCAAGGAGCTGTTGGAGATCTATTTATATGTATTCTCGCAATGGACCAAGGTTCTGATGATCTGCATGTACGTCAAACATCGGTGCTTGCGGAATCCAGTGGTGGAGGCAGCAATGAGAATGATGTTCTGGTTCATGAGGGGCAAGTGGGATCAAAGGATCTTCCAGTATAACCTTCTGATTTCTGATTCGCATACTCAGAGGAAATTTCCCCGGAGCATCAAGTTGGAGTCAGAAGTAACGACGGCAATATTTGAGTCGTTCAAGGGCCTGCAGCAGCATCCAAAAAGATTGGGAACCTACTTCTTAAATGCCTTCGGTTCAAAGGCACCCGTTATGCAGCAGCTAACATGGGCAATTGAGCTGGAGGCTGATACCCACAGGATACTGGTCTGGCACATCGCGACATGCTTCTGCGAGATGCATTTCTGTGATGAAGTGAAAAAACTAAAGGTTTGTAAGCTTCAAAACAGGATCTTGGCCAAGAAATCCACAACTCCAGAACATGTGTGGCCACATTACTTAACTGCTGTCACCTTATCAAACTATTGTGCATACCTGCTTACCAAAGGATTGGTGCCAGACAACGGCATTGTTGTTACAAATATCTTGGACATCGTACGCAAGGAAACCTTCCGTGCTACTTACTGCTCATTCTCCCAGTCAATGCAAGATGTTTACAAAGAACTTGTGGAGATTGCCACCTTGGAAGAGTCTGAGGTGATTAGTGGAGAGGTTGAAGCCCCTGAAAGTCGGGAAGATAACAATGGAATTAACAGTTCCACAACAAATGACCAGGTGCCTAATAGGGAAGATACTATCAAGGGTGATGATGACATCCATAATTCGATAACCCAAATGGGTGCAAAGCTTGGGAAGCAGTTGATAGAGACCTACGAAGCAGACACCGTAGGCATATGGAGGGATCTAGCAGTGTTCTGGACAGGCTTCCTCCTTCACTTGGCAGCCTCAACCAGAGCAGCCAAGCACAAGACACGGCTTGTTGGGAAGGTGGAGCTCATAACACACCTGTGGGCTTTGCTGTCACATGCTGGGTTTCTTGGAAATACCAGGCATGGGCAAACACTCCTCGACCCAGAAGACCTTAGTGATGTCGACCCGCTCAGATGATGAATTTGATGAGCTCAATCCTGTCGATTTCACAGGCACCAGGCTCGGTGGTCTACAGGCTGTCCTGACGATTTGGCTATTGTTTTCCTGCAAAGGGCAGCAGCAATTTCAGATTTTTTTCCCCTTTAGTACACCATGCCCGACAATTCAATTGTATCGTTCTATTTTCAGTTTGTGAAAGTTGTAGTGCATCCTTGCACCATGCACATGTTATTTGTCAATCTGGCTGCCGCTGTGTTTTCGACATTATTTTAGCTTCCAATGTAATTGCACAGTTACTTAAAGTGCATCGTTCGAGATTTGGATCCTCTCAAGATCGTCAAATCTATTGTGTTGTCCATGAGGTTTCTAAAAGACTTTTTAACCAGACTGAATCCCAAGCAATGAGCGACATCTGTGGAGGGTTCAGTTTAACTATAAGTTACAGACATGACATGGAACCTAAGCATTGTGTGGGTTCAGTTGTATCTGATCATGGGCATTGGACACACTGAATTGACGGGGAGCATGACCGCAAAAATGACACGCCTAGAAAGAAAAATCACCGTTATCGATGGATCTGCTGCTGCTGCTGCTGAATATCCTGCAGTTAGAGAAGTACGATTGAGAGTAGGGAGCACAAAATACACCCAAACCTGGGAGCTACCCGACGAGATCAGGGCGGTGGAGATTTCTACTCTCCGGGATCCGGCGGGCCTCCCCGTAGCAGCCTGCCCCCCTGAATCCCTCGTCTTCTCCAAGCTCCCCCGCGCCTCCACCAACGGCTAACTGGGGTTTCCAATGTGGGATGGGGCCTCGATCGGCGTATCGCACATCCCTCCCGCGTCGCCCTCCTCCTCCCTCGCATCCCGTGGAGCTCGCGGCCGCCGCCGTCCTCCTCTTTCCTCCCTCTCTTTCCTCTCTTCTCCACTGCCTCTGTCTTCTCGGAGGCCCGAGCCCAAAATCCTAACGGGGCGTGGGCCGCTGTCGGCTGGCTCGCCCCAGCTTTTTTCCCCCCACATTGTAACTGGGCTGGCCCGTTTGTACGCTTTCGTTCTGATCGCTCTATATGCACTCCTTCGCGAGCCTCGCAACAATCAACGCTATTTGGCGCGCTCTCAGCCATTCTCCACGTGTCGTGTTTTGGACCCTTTCTCTGAATTTTATTTTTTATTTATCGCACACGTATTCTGTTTTTTAAATGATTTTTTTTGGTTTTTTTGACGTTTTGGTTTTTCACCGGTCTTCCTTAGCTTATCGATTAAATTTTTCTCAAAAAAATGTGTCTTTTTCTTTCACGAGAGTCATGGCCGTGCCTTCCGGTAATGGAAAAAAATGTTTTCTGTTTTTACCTTTCGCAAGAGTCACGATTTTGCTTCCGCGAGAGGTACATGTGTACTTTCACGAGAGTCATGATCGTGCCTCACAGAAATTGAAAAAAAATGTGTTTTTTTCCTTTTACGAGAGTCACGGTTTTGGTTTCGCGAGAGGCGCGGTTGTGCTTTAGCGAGAGTCACGGTGGCTCTCGGAAACAGGAAAAAACTTGTTTTTTGTTTTTTTTTTCACGGGAGTCACGGTCGTGCCTCCTCGGAAACGAAAAAAATGTGTTTTCTCTTTTTTTTTCATTCCGCAAGAGTTACGATTTTTCTTCCGCGAAAGGCACGGTTGTAATTTCGTGAGAGGCATAGGCGTGCCTTTTTCGTAAAGAAAAAAACCCGTGCTCCCAATTCGGTTTTTTCGTTTGGTTACTTTCATCCAGTTTTTTCATGAAAAAAAGTTTATCAAAACCACGCGAGGAATTCAACGGTAAAAACGGTTCGATATTTGGACGCACGGTTTGAGAGATAAAATATTTTGAATAAACGGATCTAAAAAAGAGAAAACTCCCAGGTTACGACAAATGGCACTGCATGTGCGTTTTTTATCGCGGCCTGGGGAATTGGAGTGGTCTTTGCAACGAGCACACCTAAACTAGTGATTTTCGGATGATCCCTCACTGTAGTATGGTGCAGTGTACGTACAGGTTTTTTCATTTTTGTTTTTTTATGTTTTTTTTGGTTTTATATGTTTCTTCATCAATTTTTATACTTTTCTGTATTTATTTATTTTTTTCATTGGGTTTCTTTGTTTTTTCATGGTTTTCATAGATTTTACTTTTCTTTCTTTTTCTTTGTTTTTTCTTTCCTTCGCTGTTTTTATTGTTTTTTCTTTTCTTTCTTTCTTCGTTTATCTCTGCCTTTCTTTGTTTCTTTTTCACCTTTCACTGTTTCCATTCTTTTGCATTGATTTCCTTCTGTTTCCGTTTTCATTTTTTGGTTTTTAAGTTTTTTTGGTTTTAATGGGCTTCTTCGGTTTTCTTAGTTTCTTTGTCGACCTTTATTAGTTTCTTTTTTATCAACACATGTCAATTTTTTCAATACACATAATGTTTTCTGTATACATCAGAGACGTATTTGTTTACACATGTTTAACATTTTGAAATACATGATTAACATTTTTAAACTTATATTTTTTATGTCTAGTTTTCCATACACATTGTTCATTTTTGGTATATATATATATATATATATATCTAATCTATGTTCAACAATTTTGAAATACATTATGAGCATTTTTTAGTACATGATCAACATTTTTTAATGGAAACAATCGTTTATTTCTCACACAATGTACATTTTTATTATATGTCAAGAAAATTTTTATATACATGTTATCATTTTACAAATACAGAATCCTTTTCTAAAATATAGGTTTTGTGTTGTCTACTATCTCGGAAAATAATAGCATTTAGATAACAAGTTAGGTGATCTAAACGCTCTTAATTTTTTAACAGAGTGAGTAATTTATTTAATATATGTTGCCCATTTTTTCATATATTCTAGGAAGATTTTATACACGTTTAACATTTTATAAATGCATGATTAACATGTTTTTCATATACATTGTATTTTTTTGTACATTTATTTTTTGTATATATGACAAACAATTTTCCTATACATATTTAATAGTTTTTTAAATGGGTGATTAACATTTTCAAATACTTTGATTAATATTATTATATGCTTTATTAACATTTTTAATACATGATCAACTTTGTTGATACACATTGCATTTTTTGTATAATTTTCCGTATACATGATAAAGATTTTTCTATACAAATTTAATATTTTCCGAATGCTTGAATAATATTTTCCGTTTTACAGTTCCTCTATGTGAGGGCTACCCACATTGTTGTAGAAGAACTCCAAATTCATGCTTCTCTCATCTTCGAGAATCATATTGTGAAGAACAACACAGCATGTCATGATATTTTTTAAGGATCGCTTGTCCCAAAAACGAGCAGGACCACGAACAATGGCAAACCTAGATTGCAAAACCACGAATGCTCTTTCAATATCTTTTCGGGGCACCTCTTGTACCCTTGCACATTCACATTGTTTTTTAGTTTTGGGGTCTTTGATGCTCTTGACAAATATGCACCAAGAAGGGTAGATATCATCTGCAAGATAGTACCCCTTTGTGTATTCATGCCCATTGATAGTGTAGTTGCAAGCAGGAAAGTCACCACTAGCAAGCCTAGCAAACAAATGAGACCGTTGCAACATATTGATATCATTGAGAGTACCCGGCATACCAAAAAAGCAATGCCAAATTCATAAAACCTCAGATGCTATGGCCTCTAGCATAATTGTTGCATCACGAGACTTGCCTGAATACATTCCCTACCATGCCTTTGGGAAGTTTTTCCAAGTCCAATGCATACAAATAATGCTTCCTAGCATGCCAGGCCAACCTCTTCTCTCACTTGATGCCATTAACTTTTTTGTGTCTTCCTTGTTGGGTGCCCGAAAATATTCAGGACCAAAGACACGGATGATCACTTTGGCAAACCTACGCACTGACTCAATTGCAGTATCTTCACCAATGTGAAGGTACTCATCGGCATAGTCAGCCGGAATGCCGTATACAATTACTAGCACAGCTGCCGAGATTGTTTGATATCCACTAAATCCCTTCAAGCCCATGGCATTTATTCTTTGAGTAAAATACCGACAATAGGCCTCGCAAGCTTGCACTACTTTTACAAAGAGGGATCGGCACATTCGGTACCTTCTCCGGAAGAGGTGCGGCGGATATGTTGAATTGTCCGCGAAATAGTCTTGCATCAATGTCTCGTTCCTGAGATGGCGATTTCGAGGAATGCAAAGACGGCCGACGGTCGATCCTTGCCGTCTCTTTCGGTTCTCATCTTCGTGCTCCTTCACGGAGAGGGGGCTGCGAATGTTCTCATCACTAGTTTTGCTTTGACTGGTTAGAGAACATGACTCTGCTTCTTCCACTCTACTAGTCAGGGGTTGCGTTCATTCCAGCCGACGCCAATGTGGAGAAGACGGGTTGTTTCACTGCCCATTAATTAGTTGAGCTACTATTGCTGGAAGTTATAGAACTTGCGTCGCATATTCAGTTTGGTGTTAGAATTTTGAAAATACGGTTTTGTGGTAATTTAACTTGACTCAAGCGTGCAAATACGGTCATAGTACGCGTATCGGGCGTGTGGCCCCACCTGTCAGGGAGTGATGGTGCTAAGACGCGATGTATTTTTACAGAGAACGCCCTCATATTTTGTATTCACGGAAAAAGTCAACCACAACGACTCTTTTTTGCACAAAACCCCCTCACTTCTTTTTTGCAGAAAAACCCTAGTACTGCACATATATGTGCTAAAGTTAACAACAACAAAAAGATCTGTTTGGACTTGAACCCGCAACCAACTGTTCTGACAGGGGATGCCATAGTCACTCCACCTTTCATATCTTAATGTGTGTAATATCGATAACGACCAGATATGTACTTGATTTTTTTTTTTGCGAACAGATATGTACTTGATGGGGACGCATGTTAAGCACTCAACGCACGTACCTAACTTGTTTGTGTCGTGCATAGCTAGATAAGCATCCAGGAGGCGAAAATTGCTTTTAGAGGCCGAGCTTCATGGATGAAGCTCTCCATTTGTAAAGTTTAAAATTTATATTTTTATGTTTTAAATTTTTTTATAAAAAAATACAGATATACATGAAGGCATAATGTACATTTGTGTAAATTTTTTGAACGAAATATATTGAAATGAGGGATGTGCAAGATTGGCTGCTTGAGTTGTGTCTATGTGAATACCTAATTCAGTTGTAGCTATTAGCTACCCTTAAACTTTCAACAATTCGGCAATGGGCTCAGTTGATTTTGCAAGCTGTCAGAACATGCTAGATTAGCATGAATATTGGAAAACCATAATCTCTAAAGAGTGTCATATAAATTTCCATTATATCATTTTTCCTGGCTGAACATATTCAGGACTCTAGTCTAAAAGGAAAATGAATTGGCACCTTCCTAATGTCGGAGTTTTTAGAAAAAATATCATCTTTGGTGGAGTGGAGATGGGATCCAGAGGAGCTACGTCCACTGCAATGTTGAAACATGGGGTGGGCTTTAAGCTCATCTAACAATTTCAGAAAATCTCTAAGGGTTCATGTGGGTTAAATGACATTAGGTGTAGTGAGAAGTTTAGTCCCACCCCGTTAGTGGAGAAGGAGTCGGACCTCTTTATAAGGGATTCTCTTCCAAATGCTATTGGAGCTTGAAAATAGAAGAGAGAGAGCAGATTGACGAGAGAGCAGATCTCTGAAACCTAGCCTCTCTGGATCCTGGATCCTGTACGAGAGAGAGACGATTAGGTTTTTGGGAAGTGACTGCTCGCCTCTATTCGTCTACGCCCTTGTCGCCCTCGTCATCACCATGTCCACCGACGCTGAACGTGCCGCCGCCGAGAAGATCGAAGCCGACAAGAAGGCCGCCGAGGATGCTGCTGCTGCATCCGCCGCCGCCGCGGCTTCTGCCTGGCCCACTGAAGGGTATAACTCGTTTATCCCGCTCCTAATGATTTCTGTTTTAGCCATGCTAACGTTATACGTAGATGTGTCTGCTGTTAGCGTAGTACTTCCTCTGTAAACTAATATAAGAGCATTTAAATTACTACTTTAGTATTCTAAACGCTCTTACATTAGTTTACGGAGGGAGTATATGCTTGCATGATCGAATATCAGTATGTGTTTACTTCTGTGAATGCCATGCTAGTAATCTTTTTGTGGATTAATTTAATCGAAAAACTGCCTATTTACTCAACATCCAAGTCAGCATTCGTGTAGGTTTTTCTGGGGTAAATTCTTATGGGCTACAGCTTTCTTTTCCTTCCTAATTCTCTGCGTAGATGTAAGCTTATCTTTTATAGTTGTTGCAGAGGCCAGGAGCTGGGAAATTCTTACCGCCAGTATCATCTTGAATCAGTGACTATGAACAATCAACTTTTCAAAAACGGGATCAAGACAAAACTCTTTCAATCAATTACTTCAAGGGACAAATTAAAGAATGAAGGTATAATTTTGGGGTATATCCTACACTATATGCCCAAGTCTCCCAGTCTAACAATCATGTATGTACAAGTATTTTGTACTGCAAAACAGAGCATACCGTCTACCACTGCATGCCTAAAGATTTCTTTAGATCGATGGATCTATTATCCTAAGGGAAACCCTGCGCTTGCTCAATCAGTTCCCGGCCTCGTTCGTGCCGCCGCTGGGGCCGGACGGCGTCACGGGGCCCCTCGGCAGCATGGCGAGCAGAAGCGGCGCGTACTTGTTGACGATCACCTGGTCCTTGACCTTGAGCACCTCGCTAGGCATGTCGACGGCTGGCCGGAGCGGCCTCGCGGCCGAGGCTTCTCGGAGGCTGACGGCCAGGAGAAGCAGCACGAGGCATGTGGCCACACGGCTGCTTCGGGCGCTGGAGGAAGAAGCCATGAGTTGTTTCGTGAGCGGCGACGGGGAGATGATCGATGGAGGGAACTTGGAAGTGAGCAATGAGAGATGTTGGAGAAGAAAGGGTGATGGTCTGCCTTTTGTGTTTATCTGTGTTGGGTGTGCAGCTGCTCATATATAGCGATGGGCGGTGTCGAGTGTTGGGGTGGAAGGGGTCAAACGGGGAGGCTGAGTGAGGTGGAACTGCAAGGGAAGGGGCTGCGAATCTTCTCATCACTCCTCGTGTGTTGACTTGTTTCAAGAACAGAGGATGACTCTGCTTCTTCCGCTCTACTAGTCAGGGGCTGCGTTCATTCGAGCCGACACCAACGTGGAAATGATGGTTGTTCCACAGTGGGATCCATTTATAAACTTGTACTGCAAGTAGCTGGTGTTATTTTTTGATGAAAGCAACTCATCAGGCCCACTAATTAGTTGAGCTTTGGTTAAGCATTCAGCGTACGTACGTAACTTGTTTGTCTCCTGCATAGCTAGATAGGCGCGTCCAGGAGGCGAAAATTTGCTTTTGGGGGCCGAACTTCATGAAGGCCTTTATTCGTGAAGTTCAATTTTTTCTTTTACGTTTCAACAAATTCTGAAAAAAAAAACCAGATATACATGAAGGCATGAAATACGTTGAAATGAGGGGTGTTAAAAAATAAAAAAAATTCGAGGCTTTTCAGCACATGATACTATTCATCCTCAAAGTTTATGAAAATATAAATGATTTTGTATAGTTCGCATTTTAAGGTATTTCATCCTGAACTTTTACACACATATAGATTTCATCCTTGTATATTTGCATTTTTCTACTCAGCTTTTTTTGTGTGCATTTTTTTCTGTTTTTTTACACCAAAAAGTTTGGATTTTAATTTTTCAAAAAAAAAAGGGGCTCCATGGAGCCTGGTCACCAAAAACGCCCCACTCCCCAGGAGGACGCTGGGTAGTTTAGACTCGAGAATAATTGTGGCTAGTAGGAAGCGGTGGACACTACTGCAGCACTGCCGGTGCAACAGGGAAAAAGTGTAGAAACAGCCGGCCAGTGGAAGCGCTGGTCGTTGGTATGGGCATGGACTCACGACCGCGACTTGAGTCAGTGTGTGCCGATCGAGGGTCGTTGGACGCGTTCCTTCCATGCTCCTTCCCAGTGACCGAGTCCGACCGATGGAGCAGGTGGAAAACGCGGCTCCGCTGAGCTTCCCTACGTGCAGCCCATCAAACCCACCGCGTACGTATGTACGTACGTCGTTCAGGCGACGGTGCGTGCAACGCGGCCAAGTGCACACTCAACTGAAGCTGCGTCGTCTGCAACCGCAAAGATCCCGCGGCATTTCTTCCCCTAAAAAAGAATTATTTTTACAAGCATCCGATCTCTGGCCTTATTCGGCATGGCGGGTAGCGATCCGACCACTCCCGATCTATGGACTCATACCTCTTCCCCACGCGGTCCGATGTGGCAGGCGATGGTTATTAGCATTGCTCTCCGCTGCTCTCGGGAGGAGTCTGCCCGATAGCGGTCGAACTCAGCGAGATTCCATTGCGTCCGTGCAAATGGCGGGACTCTCGCTGCCTCGTCAGAGGCGGTGCGGTCCATTTGGCACCACAATGCTGTAGCGGCGGCGCAACCCCTTCGGTGACTCATCAACACCATTGACTCTGAGCCGAAGATAAACGCCGACAAGACTCATGGCGCGTCTGCTGCCATGGAGCGCTGTGCCCTCGTGCGAGGCAGAGGGCGCGGGAGGCTACGGGCAACACTAGTGGAGGACAATAAAGAAGATTACATTGAGAAATATGTTAGGAAACATTCCACATCAAAAATTCTGTTTTTATCATTTACCTACTTGAGGACGAGCGGGAATTAAACTTGGGGATGCTTGATACGTCTCCAACGTATCTATAATTTTTGATTGCTCCATGCTATTATATATTCTATTTTGGATGTTTAATGGACTTATTTATACATTTTTATATTATTTTTGGGACTAACCTATTAACCGGAGGCCCAACCCAAATTACTGTTTTTTTGCCTATTTCAGTGTTTGGCAGAAAAAGAATAACAAACGGAGTCCAAACGGAACGAAACCTTCGGGAGCGTGATTTTTGGAACAAATGTGATCCAAAGGAGTTGGAGTGGACGTCAAGCAACCAACGAGGAGGCCACGAGGCAGGGGGCGCGCCTACCCCCCTGGGTGCGCCCTCCATCCTCGTGGGCCCCTCGTGGCTCCATCGACCTATTTCTTCCTCCTATATATACCTACGTACCCTGAAAACATCAAGGAGCACTACGAAAACCTAATTTCACCACCGCAACCTTCTGTACCCGTGAGATCCCATCTTGAGGCCTTTTCCAGCGCTCCGCCGGAGGGGGCATTGATCACGGAGGGCTTCTACATCAACACCATAGCCTCTCCAATGATGTGTGAGTAGTTTACCTCAGACATTCGGGTCCATAGTTATTAGTTAGATGGCTTCTTCTCTCTCTTTGGATCTCAATACAAAGTTCTCCTTGATTCTCTTGGAGATCTATTCGATGTAATCTTCTTTTGCGGTGTGTTTGTCGAGATCTGATGAATTGTGGTTTATGATCAAGATTATCTATGAACAATATTTGAATCTTCTCTGAATTCTTTTATGTATGATTGATTATCTTTGCAAGTCTCTTCGAATTTTCAGTTTGGTTTGGCCCACTAGATTGATCTTTCTTGCAATGGGAGAAGTGCTTAGCTTTGGTTTCAATCTTGCGGTCCTCGATCCCAGTGACAGTAGGGAAAGTGACACGCATTGTATTGTTGGCATCGAGGATAAGAAGATAGGGTTTGTATCATATTGCATGAGTTTATCCCTTTACATCATGTCATCTTGCTTAAAGCGTTAATCTGTTCTTATGAACTTAATACTCTAGATGCATGCTGGATAGCAGTCGATGTGTGGAGTAATAGTAGTAGATGCAGGCAGGATTCGGTCTACTTGTCACGGACGTGATGCCTATATACATGATCATACCTAGATATTCTCATAACTATGCTCAATTCTATCAATTGCTGGACAGTAATTTGTTCACCCACTGTAATACTTATGCTATCTTGAGAGAAGCCACTAGTGAAACCTATGGCCCCCGGGTCTATCTTCCATCATATTAATCTTCCGTCAACTAGCTATTTCTGGCACTGTTTATTTTGCAATCTTTACTTTCAATCTACATCATAAAAATACTAAAAATATTTATCTTATTATTATTACCTCTATCAGATCTCACTCTTGCAACTGGTCGTGAAGGGATTGACAACCCCTTCATCGCGTTGGTTGCGAGGTTCTTATTTGTTTGTGCAGGTACGAGGTGACTCGCGCGTGGTCTCCTACTGGATTGATACATTGGTTCTCAAAAAATTGAGGAAAATACTTACGCTGCTTTGCTGCATCACCCTTTCCTCTTCAAGGGAAAACCAACGCATGCTCAAGAGGTAGCAGGCGCGCCCCCTGCCTCGTGGACACCTCGTTCCTTTCTTGATGTCCATTGCAAGTCCTCTGGATCACGTTTGTTCCAAAAATCACGCTCCTGAAGGTTTCAATTACGTTTGGACTCTGTTTCATATTCCTTTTCTGCGAAACACTGAAATAGGCAAAAAAAAACAATTTGCACTGGGCCTTGGGTTAATAGGTTAGTCCCAAAAATAATATAAAAGTATAAAATAAAGCCCATTAACATGCAAAACAGATAATATAATAGCATGGAACAATAAAAAATTATAGATACGTTGCAGACGTATCAGTCGTCCTACGAATCTCACCTGTTGATAACCCACAAGTATAGGGGATCGCAACAGCTTTCGAGGGTAGAGTATTCAACCCAAATTTATTGATTCGACACAAGGGAAGCCAAAGAATATTCTCAAGTATTAGCATCTGAGTTGTCAATTCAACCACACCTGAAAACTTAGTATCTGCAGCAAAGTGTTTAGTAGCAAAGTAATATGATAGTGGTGCTAGCGGCAACAAAAGTAAAGACAGCAAAAGTGATGTTTTTGGTATTTTGTAGTGATTGTAACAGTAGCGGCGGGAAAGTAAATAAGCGTAAACCAATATATGGAAAACTCGTAGGCACCGAATCAGTGATGGATAATTATGCCAGATGCGGTTCATCATGTAACAGTCATAACATAGGGTGACACAGAACTAGCTTCAATTCATCAATGTAATGTAGGCATGTATTCCGTATATAGTCATACGTGCTTATGGAAAAGAACTTGCATGACATCTTTTGTCCTACTCTCCCGCGGCAGCGGGGTCCTATTGGAAACTAAGGGATATTAAGGCCTCCTTTTAATAGAGAACTGGAACAAAGCATTAGCACATAGTGAATACATGAACTCCTCAAACTATGGTCATCACCGGGAGTGGTCCCGATTATTGTCACTTCGGGGTTCCTGGATCATAACACATAGTAGGTGACTATAGACTTGCAAGATAGGATCAAGAACTCACATATATTCATGAAAACATAATAGGTTCAGATCTGAAATCATGGCACTCGGGCCCTAGTGACAAGCATTAAGCATAGCAAAGTCATAACAACATCAATCTCAGAACATAATGGATACTAGGGATCAAACCCTAACAAAACTAACTCGATTACATGATAAATCTCATCCAACCCATCACTGTCCAGCAAGCCTACGATGCAATTACTCACGCACGGCGGTGAGCATCATGAAATTGGTGATGGAGGATGGTTGATGATGACGACGGCGACGAATTCCCCTCTCCGGAGCCCCGAACGGACTCCAGATCAGCCCTCCCGAGAGGTTTTAAGGCTTGGCGGCAGCTCCGTATCGTAAAACGCGATCTTCTCTCTGATTTTTTTCTCTCCGAAAGCAAATATATAGAGTTGGAGTTGGCATCGAAGGGTTTCCAGGGGGGCCACGAGGTAGGGGGCGCCCTAGGGAGGGGCGCCCCCACCCTCGTGAGAAGGGTGTGGCCCCCTGGTCTTCATCTTTGGCAAG